AACATAATTCGATTTGAGTGTCAATGGGTATACTAAGGTTTTTAGGGTCGCTGAATCAGAATTTGATGTCAGATTTAAAAAATTAGAATTGTTGACTCAACATGGAGGAAAAATTTAAAATACATTTTACTCGTTCAAAATTCGGTACTTGGGGATTTTTGGGGTCGCTGAATCCAAATTTGAGGTCAGATTTGAAAAATTTAAAATGGCGGATGTAATATGGCGATTCAATATGTCAGAAAATTTTTAAATTGATTCGATTCGTTCAAATTTCGGAACTCGGGGATTTTTGAGGTCGCTGAATCTAAATTTTATGTAGTTTTTGAAAAATTCAAAATGTCTGATTCAGCATGCCGACTAAAAATTCTAAAATTTACCAAATTCACTTGAAACTTGACCTCTCATTTGGATTCAGGTACCCCAACCTGGTTGAAAAAACTTGTACAGGATCGTGTACACGATCTTGTGCATGATCGTGCACTGATCTTGCACATGTTCTTTTACCAGGTAATGTACAAGAGCATTAAGTGAACATGTAAAATGAATATTAGAACAACGATCTTGTACAAAAACATGTACAAGAACATGCATATATGTTTATTCATGGTAACTAAAGAAATCAAGTTTACGAGTCCATGCTCGTGTACTTGTATAAGATCGTGCGTAAGTTCATGTACATAATCTTGTATTAATTTTTTAATTTTGTAAAATTTTGTGGAAAATTTTAACATAGGTTATAAAAACTCTTTGTTCATACATGCGAAAAACAACTGATGCCATAGAAAACTACTGCGTAGCTATTAAATATTTTGATTATAAACTGTAAGGGAAAACTCAAGATATTGTACATGAACTTAAGCACGATCTTATACACAGGAAAAAAAGTCTTACTCCGAGCATAGTATAATTTTTTATTTTGATTAGAAAGTAGCCGCTAACTAATATTAATCACTAATAATGGTCTAAAAATAAGCCGTTGAGGTCTTAATGAAAAACGAGATATTAATATGACAAATATTGCTTCCTCGTGGAGGAAGCTATGTAGTCCTTTCGTTTATAAAATTTTTAAAAATGGTGAAAACAAATTTTCCTCTATATAGAAACATGTTATATGAGATCCTGATCAATTGTCCGGATGTATGTATGTGTGTGTGTATGTGTGTGTGGATAGTTTTTGTGAACACGATATCTTTAACAGGTTTTAATGGATTTGCGTAAAATTCGGTAGGCTTATTTAACACATTAATCTCTCAAAAATGACGAGAGGATTTTTAAAAATACCCCAAAAAAAAAATTTTATCGTCTTTTTTCCAAAAATTTTTTTTTAATTGAAAAAATTTTTGAATCGAAAAATTTAAGGTAATATATAATATAATCGTCTTCTTTATGTCAAGATGAATCGATTGATATATATAAAATATAGATTTGATTGAAATTTAAAGAATTAATGAAAGTTAAAAAATCAAAAATTCTCATTTTAGCTAAAAAATGATGTGTTTATTTAAATTCATGTTTATATATGAAATAATTTTATTTCCTGCATTGAAACGAATTGGTTGGTATATATAAAGTATAGATTTGATTGAAAATTTGAGAATTAATAAAAATTGAAAAATCGAAAATTCATATTTTAGATAAAAAATTTTGTGTTTTTTTAAAATTCAAGTTGATGAATAAAATAATTGTATTCCTTGCATTAAAACGAATCGATTCGTATATATAAAGTTTATGTTATACTCAAAATTAATTAAAATTTTCTTTATTTTTCAAAAAATTTAATTAATTTAAAACATTTTTAACTCGAAATTTTTTAAATCAATCAATTGAATTGGACAAATTCATTGCTTCCTTTACGAGGAAGCGAATTTTTTGCTTCACATAATGAGGAAGCATAATGTTTATGAAATAAACATAAAGGACCCCCTTCTTGTTTAGTTCTATTAGATTCAAAACAAGCCTTTGTGGTTTTGGACACAATACAAAATTTTATTCGCTAGAAGTGAGACGTTAAAAGTCTTCAATCAAGCTCATGAGGTCTAGATACTAGTGAGTTGTAACTAGACGTACAACGAAAGTGCCCGAATGTAAAGTGTCATGGATGCCTTTCAAAAAATGTGATGTGTCTATAGTTAATCGGAACTAAAAGAATTAATTTAAAAGACTTACATACCCAGGTGCAAGTTGGCGGTCGGCCCACCTTGGGCCGCCAGAGGACGGGCCAACTAGCGAATTGATAACGTCAACCGACCTAGGGTCGACTTGGTTGGCCCAACCATGGGTATCCAAGTCGGGCCAACTGTAGCTGCCATAGTCGGGCCAACTGTGGCTGCCGACAGTCGTGCCCGATGGTTGGCCCAACTATGACAGCCACAGTTGGCCTGACTATGGGGGACTATGCCGACTGTATTTTCAGAAATTTTAAATAAGAATTAAATATTTAATTATCATATGTTACTCCTGATTAATATTCACCATGTTTTTAAATCACACGCTATAAAGACTAATAAAATATGTTTTTAGGTTAAATTTGATTGCGATATTTTCGCACTTGTTCCCATAGTGAATATTAATCAGGAGTAACAGTGCGCAAGTCGCATTTTCGTATTCTTCTGCGCACGCTATTACTCCGCCATTTTGAAAATAATTTCTGTTTTAAAACAGGAATCTATAATCAAATTTAGAGCAGTTTGTAAAAAAAAAAATTTTTTCAGGTTTTGATCTTCCTAGTCTGCAAATTTATTTTTTAATTCTTAATTTGTGATTAAAGATTTCATTCATATTTATTAATTATCGAGTTATCTGCTATTATTTTGAAAATCATTCATTTTAAATTGCTTAATAACTTCTACCAATAAAACAAAATTTTAGATAAATAATTAAAATATTACTTTATTATTTATTTTCTAAACTATTTCATTTTATAAAACTAACAATAATCGTTGGGTTTGAATGAGAGAAAATGATTATTGTTTGATTTCCATACAGATAATTAAAAACGTAAAATTTGAAAATTCGAAAAAAATAGTTCCCATCGTTTTCCCATTATCGGACTAGGCTCAAAATTCGTCAAATTTAGAGAAGTTTGTAAAAAAAATTTTGAAAAAAATCGATCGATACACACAGGTTCAAAAATGAATTTTTAGTCTTAAATCTCAAAAATCTAATAGAAATTTCTTTCGAAAATAACTTTCAATATTTTTTTTGGAAAGTTCGTTTAAAAACAAAAATTTTGATATAAGATTGATCCAATTTGGTCAATTTTTAGCGAAATTACAAGCATTTCAAAAAAAAGTGACGTAATTTTTCAAAAATTGATATCTCCTAAAGGGCTTCATGAAAAAATTTGAAAAAATCGTGAAAGCTAGTCTTCATGAGTACTAAAAGGAAAAAAATTTTCAAAAAGATCTGAGGTGCAAAAGCCAAATGATCTCCGATTTGGCATGGAATACCTCATATATAGTATGATTTATATCAATAAAATGTTGTTTGATGTTTCAAAACTTGTGTAAAATTTCAATAATATGGTGTTGAGAGATTTCATAAAAGTTTAGGTAATGTTAGCTATTTTTTATACCGCGCAGTGGTTTGATTTAAGCCCAGGTTCGGGCTTGTGGCTACTTTCTATTTCGAAAGGCAGCTTATTGTTAGCCTCTACAGTACGCTTAAAGTAAGACTTATTTTATGAGCGAGTTAGAAACTATGTCGGTCTAGTTTGTGTAACATATTGAAACTAACTTCTTTTCGGGTTTGAAACAAAACTTATTTTTTCCTGTGTACAAGTACACGAGCATGGACTCATAAACTTAATTTCTTTAGTTACCATGAATAAACATATGCTTGTTACATATTCATTTGTTTTTACATGTTCACTTGCTGCTCTTGTACATGACCTGATGAATAAACATGACCCCCACAGCACTGAAACTTTCCTAAAGATTTCTTAAAGATTTATTTGAAATGTTCGGAATATTTAATTGCAATGTTTAGTGAAAATTGCGTAAAGATTTAAATGTCCCGATTAAATAAATGTTTAGTGTGAAACTTTCCTGAACATTTAAATCTTTACACAATTTTCACTAAACATTGCAATTAAATATTCCAAACATTTCAAATAAATCTAGAGGATCCTGTACAAGTTTTTTCAACCGGGAAAAAACCCCGAGTACCGAATTTTGAACAAATCGAATCAATTTTAAATTTGTCCGACATATTGGGTCCGCCATTTTTTTAAAATCTATTCTCAAATTTGGATATAGCGACCCCAAAAACTTTTAATACGATGATATATGTTTTTAGAAACTTTTATTTGGACTTTTTTTGGCCCACATACGATTTTTCTACTAGACTGCGAAGGGGTTAAGTAAACTTTGATGAATTGTTTTTGCAAAAGTATCTTTTAAATGTGCATTATTTTTTATTTTAAAAAATTTAACCTCACTTATTGTCATATATTAAAGTGTATTTATTATAAATGAAATATTAAATTCTAAGAGATTGAGAATTGAGATTCTTTTTCTATTGAGATCCCAGATAAATAATATGTTTATTTTAACGTACTACATTTATGTTAATTAAACTTATTATTGTGTATAGTTACTGGTTTTTGTGAATATAAACGAAATTTAAACTGTATAAAAATTTATAAAATTTACTTTAAAATATCACTATTATAACGTACAATTTTTAGACAATATTGAGAGTCAATATTGTCTAAATTAATAAATTTTCATTAGTAGAATAAATTTGTATGTCTAGTCGAATATTACGTATAATATTGTTTTAAAATTGTATGGATATTGTTGTAAATAAGTTTTGCTCCATTTTTTGTTACATATTTCCTCAGATCTGAGGAAACTGTTTTGGTCGGTTCCATGAAAGCAGTTTAAAAATAACAATTAAACCGATTTCAATCCTAAACTTACACAGTTGTTTGATAGGTTGCATTGTGACCAGGCACATTATAAACTAATCAGTAATAAACAAAATTCTTTTTAATGTACCTCTTGATGCATAAATACTACAACAGCAGTCTCAGTAGACTCAGAGGGAGCTAGACTAAGAAGAATATCATTCAAGAATGTATTAGGTTGGAAATCTCCCATTAGGCGTTGTCCATCTTCTAATTGAAGACCAATTGTAATATTTAACAACTCTCTCTTTTTTATACATTGTACCATTTCCAATTGTGCGTTGTTTGGTAAGTTAGTGAATCGTAAACTTGTATTAACGTCAAGTACCTTATTAAAATGCCTAAAACATAAAACAAAATTAAAAACTATATAGCTTTTTAAATGAAACAATCAGATAATTAGTAATCTCCAGTTAGATTTTACTACTTAAAGTGGTTCCATAAGCTTTAAGAACATTTTTTTGTAGAATTAATAAATTTTTTGCAATTAAAACTACTACTTTAAGTAGTAGATTATACTACTTAAAATAGGAAAATAAAATTATTTTTTATTTATAATTGTTTATTATCAGTAGAATTGAGTGTTTCATCCTCTCTCCTATACTGACGCTTATTTTATGCCCTAACGATTATGTACCTAACAGAGAAAATTTCTAACCGACGGGAATTGAACCCTCGACCCTAACGCTCGCTATCCGATACCTTAACCGACTAACCACGCACGCTCGCTACGACAGTCTGCAAACTACTCGAAGACTACTTTCTGCTTGTCCAATTGGTAATTTAACTATTTAAAGTAGTCATTTTTACTACTTTTATTAGTTGCTATAACTATCCTTTTTAAGTTTTGACTTGTAAATTTTTCATCTTTTAATTATATTACAAGTTGTTTAATTGCATAGTGCAGTAAAATCTATTACTTAAAGTGATAGTTTTAATTGCAAAGGATTTTTTAATTCTACGACATAAATGTTCTTAAAGCCTATTGAACCACTTTAAGTAGTAAAAGTTACTACTGAAAGTAGTAGTTTTTATTAGAAACAATTTGTAAATTTTACATCAAAAACGTTTTTCAAGCTTAATGAATTAATTAAAATTGTAAAAAATTACTACTTACTTAAAGTAGTAGTTTTAATCACAAAGGATTTGTTAATTCTACAAAAAAAATGTTCTTAAAGCCTATTGTACCACTTTGAGTAGTAAAATCTACTACTTAAAGTAGTAGTTTTAACTGGAAACGATTTCTAAATTCTACATCAAAAATCTTCTTTAAGTTTATCAAATTAATTAAAACTAGCAAGTTGTCAAAGCTTTATGATGTAACTTTGTCAAACGAAAATGACTGTAATCTTTGTGATCAATGGATAAGTAATTTTGATTTAGCTTTGCAAAACTGCGTAACAATCTCTGAAAAAATCCGCCTTTTGACAATTTTGTCTGAATCTTTTTCAAAAAAAGGGTTACTTTCAAAGCTTTCAGGAGTAACTACTTACATGATTAATGAAGCAAGAAAATTAAAGCAAAATAAAGGAATATATAATTTGCCAGATCTGTACAGTGGTCATCCAGTAAGCGAAGAAGATATAAAAATAGCTCAAGAGTATTACTTAAATGATGATTTGGATTGTTCTAGGCAAAGTCCAAACAAGAATGATACTATTAACGTTGTTGTCGATGGAAAAAAAGAAAAAAAAGTGAAACGTATTTTAACTCGAAGCATTAGAGAAATTTATGGAATTTTTCGGAAAAAATATCCTGCAATAAATCTTGGTAGATAAAAATTTTACTCAATAAAACCAAAATGGGTAATAATTAAGCCACAGAGGAAAGTATGTGTTTGCATATACTGTGCTAATTTTGAACTGTTTCTTATTGCTTTAAAAAATTTAAGACAGGAACGCTTTTTAGATATTAAAGAAATTCAAAAAGATCTCTTCACAGCCGTAATGTGTTCTCCTGCTACTGAACAATGCACTCTTCAAGAATGTAGTCTGTGTCCCGGTGCTGAAGGAATAACAACGCAAGTTCTAAAAGTTTCCGAAGAAATTTCTGCTGGTGAAGTAACTTATGCCTTGTTTAATAAAAACGAGCTAGAGAAAAGAACAACAAGTTTCAGCACATTTTTAGGTGAATTGAGAGAGTACACACTTAAAGCAAATGTCCATAAATTTATCAAAGACATTCTCAAAAGGAAGAAATAATCAAAGTTAAGGAAGAAGCTAAGTTGAATCCGAAGAAACTAGTTTTTCACGTTGATTTCGCAGAAAATTGGAGCGTAATTTTGCCAAATGAAATTCGAAGTACCTATTGGAAAACGAAACAGGTTTCAATTTTCACAGCGGTTTGCTACAAGAGTGAAAAATCACAAAGTTTTGCTGTCGTTTCTGATGATAAGAAGCACGATTCTGCCCATGCGCTGTTGGCCTTAAATCAGATATTTCAGTGTTATAAAGAGAAATTGGAGTTAGAAGAAATAGAGGAAATGACAATTCTTTCAGACGAAGCCGCTGCTCACTTCAAAAATCGATTTCAATTTTTCGAGTTATCAGAATCGACTATTAATAAACAGTGGATATTCACAGTAACAGGACACGGAAAAGGAGCCTGTGATGGAATAGGTGGCATTGTAAAGCATTTCGCAAGTGCCCACAATTTACAAAAATCCCATCTTGAGACGATTGATGATGCCGAGTCTTTTGTGCGAGAAGTCCAGAAGTACACTCCTGCAATTAATTTACTTTTGATCTCATCTGTGGAGTTAGAAAAGTTTCGAAAAGCGAAGATTTGTCAGTGGAAAAATGTTGAAAAAATTGCAGGAATTCAAAAATGTCACGTTTGGAAGATCAAACATAACGAAAATGGAGATAAAGTTTCGTACATGGCTCGAATTGCCAAACATGATTTTTTGGAAATTAATTGAGGGGCTGGATACAATAACAACCAGTACGCTCGACAGGTCGCTCTGAAGCCAATCAACACGTCAAAAAAGTGAAAAAATTGAAACTCAAAATTCTGATTTTTTAAAAGCATTACTTTATAGAGGATAAAAACATGCATCTTTTTTCTCTCAGAAATTACTTCTAAATCCAATATTTTTGATAATAAAAGCAAAAAACACAAAAAAAATTTTCTCCAATTTAATTAAATTTTAAAATATAAACGATTATTTCTTTCACAAATAGTAATAAATTTGTTTACAACTTGGTATACATACTAAATTAGGTCTAATAAAGCCATTAAAACATTAAAAAAAGGCAAAAATTAAATATTTTACATAATATTACTAATAATGTTAATATGTCTTGATTAATTTTTTTAAAAACTATAACAGGAATTGATTTGAAATTTTCCAGAAAACTTCCTGAAATAGTAATGAATAAATATTTTAAGAGAAGATGTAGAAAAGAAATTCTGAGAGAAAAAAGATGCGTTTTTTAATCTTCTATGAAGTAGTACTTTTGAAATATCCGAATTTTGACTTTCAATTTTTTCACCTTTTTGTCGTGTTGACTGACTTCAGAGTGAGCGGCCGAGCGTAATGGTTGTTATTGTTTCCGGCCCCTCAATTAAACATTTTTTAAATCAATAATATATGTATTCCAATATTCAGTTACTTTAAATGTGTTTTAATGTGCAATAAAAATATTTAATTATTTATATGTGAAAATAATTCATAATAATTTGAAAAAATATTTTTTTAATATTTGAATTATTATAAAATAAACTGTCTTGAATTTTTACTTAATCAATTTATTTTAAAATGAAATTTGCAAATATTAATTTCCAAATTGAAAATTAAAACTTTAAGTTTTTTAAAAAATTTTTGAATGATAATTTGAATTGGAAAATATTTTAAGAGTATATTACTGAAAGAATCACAATATTTATAAAAAATATTTTTTCTTTTTTCACCTTTTTATTAATTATATATTTATTATCATTGGTCTTAACGATATTTAAAATGTCAAATTATAAATTTTTTGATGTTTAGAACCTGTTTGAAAAAAGTGATTTTATGGTTATTTTCTATACATACATTATTGTTGGTTATAAAATGACTCATTTCAGTGAGTTCATTTGTTCTTCAAACTGCACGTCAGCCATTTCAAATTTCGTAAAAAAAAATATTTCGAAAAAAATTTCTCCTTACTACCAGGATTGTTTAGCCCGCTTGAAACTCCTAGAATTGGTTCTTCATATTGGTAAGAATTTATGGTAAAAATTTGAGAGAAAAAAAAGTGGGGTTTTTGAGAAAATTGACTTTAATGATTTTTAGAAAATCATCTCCTGTTTTGTTAATTTTGAATCTTTTTTCAAATTTCAAATGGGATTTTAAAGAGGAATATATCCCCTACAAGATTCAAGAAGAATAATTTCATTGCATTCATTAGAAAAAAAATTACAGGCGAAACAATTTTTTTTCATTGTTCTTTCGAGTTTTACCACTCAAACTTCAAATGACCATAGGGTAAGTCCACGTCAGAAATATCAGAATCTGCAAGTGGTTCTTCGATTTTAATGATACTTGGTAAAATTATAGCTTTATATAAGAGCAATGTGTAAGTAAAAGGAATTTTTAAAATATCTAAAATTGTAGGAGTTATATCACTTTTAATTTTGATACTGCATTTTTTTCTTTCCTTTATATCTCGGTCAATTTTCAACCGATTTTGATGAATTAAAAACGATTTTTTCAGAAAATTACGTATTTTCAGAAAATTTTAAAATAAAATATAATATAATATATAATAAAATAAAATTCTAGTTTGTAACAATAATATTATAAAACAAATGAAAGTAGAAACACAAATCTGGATCCTAGTTTTCTTGAGATGTGGATATTTAAAGAACGATATCACGAGATCTAAAAAAGTCTCCAGGATGAATTTTTTTTTAAATTAAAAATAAAATAAAAAGGAATATTATTAATAAATTAAAAAAAAAGAGGTCGAAATTGAAAAAAAATCTAAAAGAAATATTGTTTTTTACTTTTTTCTATTTAAGGGGTTTCCTAAATTTTTTTGCCCTAAAATAGAAGGTTTTTAAAAGATCGTGTACTCATAAGTTTTAAAATATAATTGATCAAAAGTTTTTACATGTTACTATATACGTCAAGAACTATTTAAAAAAAAATTGCGATCTTAAAAAATATTATTATGCTCCTTCTACAGAGGTCGCTATGTACACTGGTCAAAATCAAAGCCCTTTACGGTAACCACTGTAGCTCATCGCAGAATCATCTAAAATAAAAAAATCAAACGTGATTTTAAAGTTTAAGACCTAATACAGGTCCTAAACCTCGAGATATTAAAAAAAATCAAAAATTAAAAAAATGGCAAGC